GATCGAAACGCATTTTTTGATTTAGTGGCGGCCGAATTCGTTGAGTTGATACGGGTGCACATGAAAATTGCAATAATGCCTTCGAGATATTGTTTTATGGTACTGTTAGAAATGTTTTCATCAGACTTTGGTTTCTATGAGGCCACTATATACATGCTATAAAGGATTTCTCACCTTGTCTTTCCTATGAGGAATCTGCGAAATATTTGTGCAAGAAGGGCCTCTATTAGAAACCAAAACATCACACGAGGACGCAGGAAGATTGTAGTGCTCACCACATGCCTCCTTCAAATTGGACAGTGTGAATTCATCATACTCGTACTCCACAAACTTTCTTGGCTCTACTGGTTTGTAGACCTGCTTCGTGTCGGCTTCCGATGCCAAACGCTGAACAATTATGTTGTGGCGTCGACCCTTTCGTGTTTTTACGTCCTTCTTTTCGTGTCCGCTTCTGGCCCATTTGCTCTCTGAGCTTATCCCMGGTGTTGTTGCGTTTCATTTGTTGTTAGAAATATTACGAAAAAAGATTTGGTGAATCAGAAACAGTTGTGATAACCCCGCTATTTAAAAGCATATGTCACACACATTCGCCGGCAATCCACGTGCATATCTCGTTTTGACAGCTCACTCAAGGGTGAAGCCGACAGCTGACCGCAAATAAGGTATGGGATTTTGAGAGTGGGCTGGAAACATGAAAATAAAGATTCCAAAACTTACCTATTGTGTTAGTTTGAGCGATTTTCACTCATATACACCCTCCCACTAACGAAAAATTCCTGTGAGTAGAATTGTCTAAAAAGAATTTCAAATCTAAACCCAGTGCATTGCTCTTCAGTGAAGAAATATTAATCCATCTCGATAATCAACATCATTAAAACCATGCAATCACTAAAAAATAAAGAAATAAACAATAACAATAACTAACTTTTTTATTTCTAGTCAGCATAGTGAATAGCTATATATTTCCTTATTAGCTTTATCTTCTTCTATCTCTATCTCTTTTATTCTTTCTTTAAATAGATATATTAAATTTTTGTTCATTTTGTTTATTCTGTTTTATTGAAATTGATTCGCAGTAAAATTGTTGTATGTTATTAATTGTTTTACGGTCAACATTGTAATAATATAATCCAATTCATAAACTAACATGAATGTATATTATTATTGTAACCTCCCAGCTAGATTAGTTTACCACTATTTTGCTTGGGTTCAACATGTTTCTGTTCACTATATAGTTTTTGTGAATAAACTGAACTGAATAAATTGAGGGGTGGTGAACTACATCGCATATGGTAGGTTGTACATTTTTTGTCTGTTTTGAGCATACCTCGGCAGGAAATTTATTGTGTCAAACATTCATGCTATCTGATTACATATCTTTAAACTTATTGTTTTGTGTGTTATATGGCAATATCTGGAGTCTTTCTGATCAATGGTCAATAAATTATGCAACACTAAAAACAACACAATGACAACTCAACAGTTGAATAAAATGGTCGTTTAAAGCACTGGAGAGTCGTTATATTACTCTCACATAACGACTCTCGGTGTGATTTAAATTACCATTATATTCAACTGTTTCATTAGAAACACTGATGCASTTTAAAATAGTTTATTACCAGAAGTCAACTAATCACAATAGGATTTTCATTTGCTTTGTATGCATATGTTTATGAATCATGATAACATTTTCAAGTCACAAATTATCTATTTTTGCATTCTTTTTAATGTTTTTATCATTGATTTTGATTAACAAAGAGATTCTGCAATACATTTTCCCCAAAATTGCTTGACTGGCCACAAAGCAATAGATTGATATTGAGGCTGGAGTATAAGAAAGTACAGTGAACATATGGATTTACACACCCCAGCCGCAACTTGAATTTATTGTTCTGTGGTTATCATGCCAATTGGTGAATGGTCTATATGATAAAACTGTAACAATAATACTCATGAAAAGTTCATTAAACTCAAAGTTAATAAAAAATAATTCCTCATATCTCTGCCATTTTATTAGTCAAAAATTAYTTCTTTTTAGCCTTTTTTGATGGATTTTTTTCCACCATTAATTTCGATTAATAAATTCTGCTATTTGCTAAAACTGTAACAATAATATTAATGAATCAATATAATACTTCGTCACATCTCTGCCATTTCAAGTCATAAATTATATATCTTTATATTCTATTTAAATTTGTTGAATCATTAATTTTGATGAATTTTGATTTGAATTTGTATTTTAAAAAATAATATAAATTAATGCTCATGAAAATTATAAGTGAATGGTGATTATATTTGCATGAAAATGCTTTCAATGAAACACAAGACCCATATGAGTTTTAGTTTGATTTAGAAATTAGACTAGTTTCCTATCTTTAAGGAAGCATTTCAATGAGACCGATGGAGGATAGACAGTATCTTTTGTTGGTTCCTTGAATGTACTGAAAAACAACAACAAAAAATTAATGCTGTCTTTCAGAGAAAGTAATCATTACTGCACAACAAACAAACAATAGCCATCAAATAGTGATATGATTCCAACCAAAGCTCAGGGATATGATTGCTTTCTGCAGAAACTCATTGAATCCCTTTCARAGTGGAATCAGCTGCGTCACACTACGCTGCTGTGTGGTAGAGCACTGTGTTGTGTGACAGTAAGGGGAGGATATTTCAAAATCGGTCTTCAATGATTAAAATGTTTAAAATCCACAAAAACAGAATGAAATGGAAAAAATGAAAAAAAATTGTCGAATTCTATAATTATAAATATTTTAAGAAATATCAAACCGGAGTTCATCAAGAAAAATGCACGATTTGCTTACCTCGTTCTACGAAGAACATTGACTGTCGCTGACTGGAGTTCTGTAATTTCGTGTGTTACTTGACATAAGTAATTACCAGGCTCGGTAATCTTTAATAAACATTGGTTCGGTGCCGTTAAGTAAATGTGATTGTTGCGGTACCAGCTGTAAGTTACGCCAATTCGGTTGTGGAGATTTGTCACCACACCAAGAAAGAAGTTGTTTCYGTCGTAGCCATTGATTTCCTCGGGGCCGTGAAGAATGCGAGCTGTATTATCCGCACTTGGGAAACCAGGAAACCCACCATCAGTATTTCTCCTCAAATATACAGTGTCATTRACTTGAATAGCACTCAATTGAAATTTATCTGCCAACGGGTTATATGTCTCGTAGCTTTCTTCAAGCCAACATTCGGAGCGGTAGTCATACGTTGAGCCCCAACCGTTGACAATCAAGGTACTTGGTTCCCCAGTATACAAAGAATAAGTCACATACATAATTTCCACACTAATGGAATTTTCTTTGGAACCAACGATGAACATGACTGTTTAAAACTTTAGCTTATTTCGTAGAAAAATCGAGGAACTGTCATGACGTAGTACACGAGGTATTAAAGTAAGAAGAGCGTCTGGCATGCACTCAAAGGAGGGCCCGCTGACCAAAAACATAACGGGCTATGAGAATGATGGGCCAATGCTTAATTAGTCTCGGCATCTCAGACGCTACTGACGGTTGGTGAAAGTGCCATTAATTTCAAGGTTCATATTTTCTCTGTTGTGTAATGGAATGAGTAGCCTAACAATCCATGGAAAAACTATTTGTTTTCAGCACGGAAAACGTAAAGCCATATAAAAGAAAAGCCAAACTTAAATGTTCATGCGTGCAAAGCATTATGGTCTATGATAACGATGGGCCACATC